TGATTCAAGATATTGTCGAAGACTTCGTTTTCTTAAACCATTTTCTGTTAGCTAATTTCTTTTTTTTTTTTTGATGCATTTAAAAAAAAAAATGAAATTTTAAATTTTTTAAAAAAAAAAGATTAATTTTTTCATGCATTTAAAAAAAAAATGAAATTTGAATAATTTCTTTAAAAAAAAAAAATTTGGTTTTTTTTTTTATTTTTATTTTAAAAATAATTAAATGATAATATTTGATAAATTATTTTTAGATACCAAATCCACCTCAACCATCTTATTATATGAAAGCATTAATTGAACGTGGTTTACAATATGCTGGTGGTATTTTAAGACGACAACAAATTGTATGCATTTGCATTTAATTTCATTACAATTTAAAAAAAAAATTATAAATTATTAACTTCTAAAAAAAAATATTCATTTATAATTTATTATTTAAATTATAAAATTTAACAAAAAAAAATTGTTAAAAATTTATTATACACTAAAAAAAAAAAAAAAGGTGGAAGGAATTCTTATTGTAAAGAAAAAAGAAAAAATTTTTTTTTTTTTTTGTAAAAATTTTTTGATAAAAATTCTTTCAAAAAAAAAATTTATTACAAAAATGTAATTTGAAATGTTTTTTTTTTTTCCTTTTAATTTACAAATAAATTTTAAACAGAATTTTTTTTATTTATTTTTTTTTTTTGTTTTTCCTTGCAGACTCATCCTGCAAGGAATCGTTTTTGGTCACCAACACAGTCACCTGCACCTCTTCTACCACCACGACCACTACCACCACGACCACTACCGCCACCACCACCACGACCACTACCACCACCACCACCACCACCACCACCGCCACCACCGCCACCACCGCCACCACCGCCACCGCCACCTATATTTCATCCTCCTCCACCTCCTCCTCATATTCAACCACAACAATTTCAATTTCCTTTTTTTCAAACCCAACATCTATCACAGGTTTAATGATAATTTCAATCTTATATATACATTTAAAAAAAAAAAAAAAAAAAAATAAATATGCATATGATTGTTTGATAAATACAAAAATAATATATAGGATGCCTCCACCTCATATTCAACCACAACAATTTCAATTTCCTTTTTTCAAACCCAACATCTATCACAGGTTTAATGGTAATTTCAATCTCATATATACATTTCAAAAAAAAAAAAAAGAAATATGATAAATACAAAAATAATATATAGGATAAAATTACTTTTTTACAGTATCCAAAAATAATATATAGGATAAAAATACTTTTTTACAGTATCCAAAAATAATATATAGGATAAAATTACTTTTTTACAGTATCCAAAAATAATATATAGGATAAAATTACTTTTTTACAGTATCCAAAAATAATATATAGGATAAAATTACTTTTTTACAGTATCCAAAAATAATATACAGGATAAAATTACTTTTTTACAGTATCCAAAAATAATATATAGGATAAAATTACTTTTTTACAGTATCCAAAAATAATACATAGGATAAAATTACTTTTTTACAGTATCCAAAAATAATATATAGGATAAAATTACTTTTTTACAGTATCCAATGCAAGAATCATGGTTTCCATCTATTTTTAATACGGTACACAGTAATGGAAAAGGTGCAGCAATTTATCAGAGTAATGGTGAAATTTCAATAAATAGTGGAGGAAGTGGAACAGATAGTTCATCACAACATACCAAAAAGAAAGTTAAAAGAAAAGCTGAACCACCTGTTTTAGGTTTGTTATCATTTTCATTTATTTTAAATATTTTTTTGTTAATTAATAAAAAAAAAAAAACATTTTACTTTTAATCTTTTGCTACAAATTTATTAGATTAAAACCATTTGTTTTAGGTTTGTTATTATTTTCATTTATTTTATATTATTTTAAATACTTTTTGTTAGTTTATAAAAAAAAAAAAACATTTTACTTTTAATCTTTTGCTAAAATTTATTAAATTAAAACCACCTGTTTTAGGTTTGTTATCATTTTCATTTATTTTAAATATTTTTTGTTAATTAATAAAAAAAAAAAACATTTTACTCTTAACCTCCTGCTACAAATTTATTAGATTAAAACCACCTGTTTTAGGTTTCTTATCATTTTCATTTATTTTAAATATTTTTTGTTAATTAATGAAAAAAAAAACATTTTACTTTTAATCTTTTGCTACAAATTTATTAGATTAAAACCACCTGTTTTAGGTTTGTTATCATTTTCATTTATTTTAAATACTTTTTGTTAATTCTTTTTTTTTAAAAAAAAGAGACATTAAAAGGAAAACTGATCCACTTGTTTAGTTTTGCTGTAATTTTCATTTTTATTTAATTTTATAAATTATTAAATACTTTTTGTTAATTTATAAAAAAAAAACATTTTATTCTTAATCTTTTGCTACAAATTTATTAAATTAAAATTAGCATATGTTACTACTAAAATTTGTAACGAAACATACATTCTTCGTAACTTAAAATTTATTAAATTAAAATTAAAAAAATTTAAAAATTAAAAAATATACTATTAAAATTTGTAACTAAATACATACACTTACAATTATTATTTAAATCTCTCATACTACAAATTTATTAAATTAAAATTAGCATGTATTACAAAAATTTTATGTACTACTAAAATTCATAACTAAAACGAAACATACATTCTTCGTAACTAAAAATTTATTAAATTAAAATTAAAAAAATTTAAAAATTAAAAAATGCACTACTAAAATTCATAACTAAATATACACCCTTACAATTATTATTTAAATCTCTCATACTAATTTATAATGAATGTTTGAAATAATTTGTCTAATTTTCATCGCATTTATAAAACAACTATATTTTCATTTCAAAAAAAAAAAAAAATTTTTTTTTCCTTGCATTATTGATTAATTTTATATAAAATTAAACAAATGTGATGATGATTTGTTTGAAAAAAAAAAATTAATAGCGAATTATATTATGGTATAAAATTTAATTAAATAAAAAATTAACTTATAAATTAAATTATTAATATAAATTATAACTAATTTTATCTAATCTATATTTTATTAATATATTTAATTTTAGGAATACGTTATACAATATCATGTGTACAACATGGTGAGAAATAGATGATGATAATATGTTTGACATCATAAAATTTAATTAAATAAAAAATTAACTTATAAATTAAATTATTATATAAATTAGAACTAATTTTATCTAATTTATATTTTATTAATATATTTAATTTTAGGAATACGTTATACAATATCATGCGTACGACATGGTGAAATAGATGATGATAATATGTTAACATTATGTGGTACCTGTTGGACATGGCGTAAATTACCACCTGATTATTTTCCACCTTTAATTAATGAACTTGTTTGCTCAAAAGAAAATCAAGGTCATTGTCTATCTGGTAATATTTCATATTTAATCATTTATAATTATTTTTTTTTTTAAAAAAAAAACTTACTTTTTATTATTTATAACAGATTTTTTTAACAATCAAATTTATTTACTTTCTTTGAATCATAAAATTAATATCAATGAAAAAAAAATCAATAAAAATAATCAAATTTATTCACTTTCTTTGAATTATAAAATTATTAATATCAATAAAAAAAAAACTTACTTTTTATTATTTATAACAGATTTTTTTAATAATCAAATTTATTTACTTTTTTTAAATCATAAAATTAATATCAATGAAAAAAAATCAATAAAAATAATCAAATTTATTTACTTTCTTCGAATTATAAAATTATTAATACCAATAATAAAAAAAAAAAAAAAACTTACTTTTTATTATTTATAACAGATTTTTTAATAATCAAATTTATTTACTTTCTTTGAATTATAAAATTATTAATATCAATAAAAAAAAAAAAACTTACTTTTTATTACTTATAGCAAATTTTTTAATAATCAAATTTATTTACTTTCTTTGAATTATAAAATTATTAATATCAATAAAAAAAAAAAAGGGAAAAGAAAAAGTAATTTATTAATTCATTGTTTATATATCATTTTTATCAATCGCTCTATTTTTTTTTTTTTTTTTTGAAAGAAAAATTTTTGAAATAATAAATTACAATAATGTAAGAAATACACATAGATGTACATTTTTTTTTTTTTTTTTCAACAAAACTTGATTTTTTTTTTCTCTCTTTTTACTTTTTTCTTTTTTTTTTCTCTTTTCGACAATCAGATGAAATTACTTTAGTAATTTTTAATTTCACTTAATTGGAATTATATTTTATTTACCTTATTATTGCAAATTCAAATGCTCATCCATATATTTTTTTTCATTTAAAATTTAACATTTTTTAAAAAAAACAAAACTTATCGAAACATGCTAAAAATTATTTTAATCAATTTTAATTAATCTAAACAAAAAAAAAAAAAGTAATTTTCAATTTCACTTAATTGGAATTATATTTTGTGTAGCATATTATTGCAAATTCAAATGCTCATCCATCTATTTTTTTCATTTAAAATTTAACATTTTTTTTTTTAATTTTGTTTTTTTTTAAAAAAAAAAAAAAACAAAATTTATTGAAACATGCTAAAAATTATTTTAATCAATTTTAATTAATCTAAACAAAAAAAAAAAAAAGAAAAGTGAGAAAATATTTTAAATGCTATTCAAATATTTTTTTTTCCTCTTTTTACTTCATGAAAACATTTTTTATTCTATAAATTTATTTTTACTATTAAAATTTCTAGTAAATTTTTCACTTTTTTCTTCATTTTTTTAAAATATATCTCAATTATATGATTAAAATATATTCTGAGATGAGGAAAAAAAAAAATAAAATAATAATAATAATAATAATAATTTAAAGGTTGGGGTAAATGTCAACAAAAATATCGTAATTTTGATGTGCTACGAAATGTTAATGGAAATTGGCAACCAACAACGATCTCAACAGCAACATGCTGTGATTGTCGAATTCGAGCAGGCACTGAAATACATCCACTTGTTATTGGCAAAAGGCAAAATTAATCTAAAATTTTATTTTTGTTTTTTTTTTTCTTCTCTTTAAAAATTATAAAAAATTATTTCAAATTAGGCATTTTATGATATAAATATTATTGTTTAAATATGAATTTTCTTTTTTTTATATTTATATATATATTATTATATGTTAAATAAATTATCTAAAATTTTGTTTTTGTTTTTTTTCATTTCAAAAATTATAAAAAAATATTTCAAATTAGGCATTTTATGATATAAATATTATTGTTTAAATATGAACTTTTTTTTAAATATATTATTATATGTTAAATAAATTATCTAAAATTTTGTGTTTTTTTTTTCTCTTTAAAAATTATAAAAAAAATATTTCAAATTAGGCATTTTATGATATAAATAATAGGATGTTGATATTTTATTATTGTTTAAATATGAATTTTCTTTTTTTTTTAATATTATTATATGTTAAATAAATTATCTAAAATTTTGTGTTTTTTTTTTTTTCATTTCAAAAATTATAAAAAAATATTTCAAATTAGGCATTTTATGATATAAATATATTTCAAATTAGACATATTATGATATAAATATTATTGTTTAAATATGAATTTTTCCTTTTTATATTATTATATGTTAAATAAATTATCTAAAATTTTTTTTTTTCATTTCAAAAATTATAAAAAAATATTTCAAATTAGGCATTTTATGATACAAATAATAGGATGCTGATATTTTATTATTGTTTAAATATGAATTTTTTTTTTTAATATTATTATATGTAAAATAAATTATCGTCATTTTGTTTTTTTTTGTTTTTTATTTTTGAATTTTTCAAAATTTTTTTTTTTCAATGAATTTATTGTTAAATTAGCTTCACGATTAATTAGCAATAATATTGTTGCTAATTAAATAGTACGAAGATAAATAATGCTACTAGAATCATAGGAAAAAAAAAGAGAAAAAATGGTTATTTAAAATTTCAAAAAAAAAAAAAATTTTATACTTATAATTCGAGATTCTGCTAATTAAATAGTACAAAAATAAATAATGCTATTACAATCATAGAAAAAAAAAAGACAAAAAATGAAAAAAAAAAAAGAAACGGTTATTTAAAATTTCAAAAAAAAAAAAGAAAAATTTATACTTATAATTCGAGATTTATCAATTGCAATAAACTTCCATTCACATATATGATAATTGATAATAATTAATAGTTAACAATAACAATAATAATAGTAATAATAATAATAATAATAATAATGATAATAATAATAATAATAATTTTTTATCTAATTTTTATCTCTCATAAATCTAACATAACTTTGTTATTTTGATTTTTTTTTTTTTTTTTGAATTTGCTTAAATTGCATACGAAATAGCAAGTAAATAAAAATTGTTGAATTATTGTCATGGATAATTGGTTAATAATAATAAGTGATAATTGATAATAATTAATAGTTAACAATAACAATAATAATAATAGTAATAATAATAATAATAATAATAATAATAATAATAATAATAATAATAATAATAATAATAATAATAATAATAATAATAGTAATAATAATAATAATAATAATAATAATAATAATAATAATAATAATAATAATAATAATAATAATAATAATAATAATAATAATAATAATAATAATAATAATAATAATAATAATAATAATAAAACATTACCAGCATATTTTTTGATAACAATATCATCACAGATGAAATATTTTTGATAAGTAAACATAGGTAAATATTTCCAAAATGAAATTAATTCATTAACCTGTCCAATAATATTTATGGCAGTTTCTTTTCCAATACAGCCTTTTTCTTCTTTTTTTCTTGATATAAAATGTTAAAATTTCAAGACATTCTAATAAAAATAATTACATTTATTTGTTTACCAATAAAATTTTTATATCATTTTCTAAAATTAAAATTAGAATGCTTATTTCTTATTGTTTTTTTTTTCCAAATTAATATCTAATTGCTTTTTGAAAAGTAAAATTTATCAAATTGTAAATGTAAGTTTCATATAAGTTAAAAAAAAAATTAATAACATCTTAAATGATTTCTGATTTGATATATTAAATATTTCTTGTTTGATATATTAAATTGTACTGAAAAAGATATCGAAAATTAAATAAATAAATAAACATAACATATTTTCTCATCGTTTAATCAAATTTTATTATCATTTACAGTACTGAATTATTTACAAACATATTCAAATTATGAATAGCATATGATAAATTTGTCTTATTACTTTTTTTTGAATTAGTCAAATATTTCAACGATATCAATCTTACATATTACTATTGCTTGTCAATAATTGATACCTTAACAATTGTATCATTAAAGTTATGAATATAAACTCATTTATCATTTCATATTTTAATTAATTAATTAATAATATAAATTAATTATATCAAATTGTGTCATTAATAAACAAATAAATAAATAATAAAATAAAGTCTAAGCTATTATTTCGATCAATTTGAAATTAATTTTACATAATAATAGGAAAAGTATTCCACGGTTTGATCTTTGGCATATGATAAATTTGTCTTATTACTTTTTTTGAATTAGTCAAATATTTCAACGATATCAATCTTACATATTACTATTGCTTGTCAATAATTGATACCTTAACAATTGTATCATTAAAGTTATGAATATAAACTCATTTATCATTTTAACTAATTAATTAATTAATAATATAAATTAAACATACCAAATTAGTCATTAATTGATACCTTAACATTAAAGTTATGAATATAAACTCATTTATCATTTCAACTAATTAATTAATTAACTAATAATATAAATTAAACATACCAAATTAGTCATTAATTGATACCCTAACATTAAAGTTATGAATATAAACTCATTTATCATTTCAACTAATTAATTAATTAATTAATTAATAATACAAATTAAACATACCAAATTAATAAATTGATACCTTAACATTAAAGTTATGAATATAAACTCATTTATCATTTCAACTAATTAATTAATTAATTAATAATACAAATTAATCATATCAAAATTACGTCATTAATTGATACTTTAACATTAAAGTTATGAATATAAACTCATTTATCATTTCAACTAATTAATTAATTAATTAATAATACAAATTAAACATACCAAATTAGTCATTAATTGATACCTTAACATTAAAGTTATGAATATAAACTCATTTATCATTTCAACTAATTAATTAATTAATTAATAATACAAATTAATCATATCAAAATTACGTCATTAATTGATACTTTAACATTAAAGTTATGAATATAAACTCATTTATCATTTCAACTAATTAATTAATTAATTAATAATACAAATTAAACATACCAAATTAGTCATTAATTGATACTTTAACATTAAAGTTATGAATATAAACTCATTTATCATTTCAACTAATTAATTAATTAATTAATAATATAAATTAAACATACCAAATTAGTCATTAATTGATACTTTAACATTAAAGTTATGAATATAAACTCATTTATCATTTTAACTAATTAATTAATAATACAAATTAAACATACCAAATTAGTCATTAATTGATACTTTAACATTAAAGTTATGAATATAAACTCATTTATCATTTCAACTAATTAATTAATTAATTAATAATACAAATTAAACATACCAAATTAGTCATTAATTGATACCTTAACATTAAAGTTATGAATATAAACTCATTTATCATTTTAACTAATTAATTAATTAATTAATAATACAAATTAATCATATCAAAATCACATCATTAATAAACAAACAAATAATAAACTAAAGTCTAAGCTATTATTTCGATCAATTTGAAATTAATTTCAACATTTGTACAACAATTAGGCCGAGAAGTATTCCACGGTTTGAGCATCGTAAATTAATTTAACTTTGAAGAATGTAAACAGACAACAGTTGGTGGTAATATTTTGTTTTTTGATATTTTGTCTAACATTATTGATTTCTTTTTTTTTTTTTTGCTGAATAATTCGTAATTATATGATTTAGAATAAAAGAATAATCTTTTAATAAAGGGAATACTTGAAGAAAATATATTTAAAAAAAAACTAATAGTCGTAATGATTGTAAATTCTGTTTTAATTAGTTGTAAAATAATACAGTGATGTAAACATTATGATTGTTGAGATTAAAATTAAGAATGGTTAAGATATAATTAGATAAATTTGCTATATTAAATAATCATAAAGAAGAAATTAGAGATAATTTGAATGATACGAAAAATGATTAACTATTAGATATTTCGTGCAATAATTATGAATTAAAAAATTTTCTTAAATGAATTATCATATATTTGTAGCTGGTGCGACTTAGTGATTGCAATCTTTCCGGTTGCATCATTTCCGTTATTCGTGCCACACTACTAAATACATTCATTTCGTCCAGTTTATTTCCGGTTACATAATAATCAATCATTCATTACTTTGTTAACTCATTCATTGCGTCTATCCTATCTATTTTTTTTTTTTTTTTTGTTAATTTATCTATTTGTCTACGTATTTTCCATTCTGTATGGTTGAACATTCGGAAAAAATGACCCAGAAAATGGCTTCAGCTCGAAAGACAGGTTGTTATTGTATATTTTTGCTTTTTATATTTTAATCAAAAATATATTTTTCTTTTCTTTTGCATATTTTCTAATGAGTGCAACAAAACTGAGCAATTTAGAGTGATAATACAGGAAAATGATAAACTGCAGATGTGAAAAGTGAATTAGAAAGTATTGGACGATGTTTGGAAGGTGAAGAACTGGTGAAAGCGTTAATGGAACGTGTCTTGGCAACTGAGGAAGAAAAGGCTACTCTAGCAAGCAAAGTTGAAGAGTTATCAAAGATTCAGAAAATGGCTACCAGTCTAAGGAAGCAAAATGAATTAGTGAGTAAACCAATAGATATATCTCAATGTTATTAAAATTTTGAAAGTACCAAATTAATTTATATTACCAAACATTAAATCAACATTAAACTCATATAGAAGATGTAAATACA